CCTGGGCAAAAAAGTCCATGAGACCCTTATCACCCAATAACTAGCAAAAAAAAAAGCCAGAGGTAGAACTGTTGCACAGAGGTAGAGTGCTAGTTTTGAGGCTCCAAACCTCATGGACAGCACCCAGGCTCTCAGTTCAAGCCCCAGGGCCAGCATTAAAAAAAAAGAGAGAGAGAAAGAAAGAGAAAAATTGAGAGGGAGTAAAGAAAGGTGTGACATTGTCCAAAAAGAAATGGACTCATGACCTGACTTATATAACTGTCTCCCTTCTGCACATCACAAGAAAAAATAAACATTAAAAAAGTACTAAAAACTTTCATACACTTTGGTAGAATCAAAATTTAAAATCTTTTCGCATTGAGCTTTAGTTGATTTCACAGACATTTGAAACTGGTGACTTTTTAAGTTACTGAGTTGTCTTTAGGCATACAAATCATAAGCAGCTCAAACCCTGGGACTAAAATGGACTCTTTGGGGCAAAGCTATTGTGATAACATGGACAGAATCATAGAAACAGCAAATTAAATGCTGTTGGCAAAGAAATAGCTGTGTCCCATCAGTTTCTCTTAAAGTTACTAGTTGGGGGGAAAATAGAATCACTTAGCTACACTTTCTTTCCTTTTGAAGGGAAGTATTCACCACCTTTCACATAGCCCATAAGTTACCTGGAAGTTAGAACGAGCCATGCTTCTAGACTCGCAAATAGCATTGCATCCAAAAATGGTGGTCACATTGTTGTCTTCCCACAGAGGATCAAATGTAAGGAGTGATTGAAAACTAGCCTTTGTAATAAAAAATAAATCCCCTGAAACAAAGTAGCTGCTACGATTCCACCCCTGCCTCCCATATTTACTGCCCCTATTTTCTGGTAATTCTGTATCATAGCTGTCACTGACCCAATTAACAGAGAACAGAAGTTCTATAGTAATAAAAGGCTTTGTCTTGCACCAGTGGCCTACCTAAATGTTAATGGGTATCAGAATTAGACACAGCTCTACTAAGGCCCATTCTTCACATGAGAGTTGTTGGCTCACTAAGTCAGGGCTGAAATGCTTGCATTTCTTATAGAGGATCACTGGTGTAAACCATATAACTCATAAGCAGCAGATCTTAGATTAAAACTCAAGTCTGCTAGATTGTAACATGCATGCTGATATAACAGAAAAGGTGCCTACAATGCCTGTAATTGCTCTGTCTCTCTGATCCCGTTCCCCCCTACCTCTCATGCTATTCAAGGCTTTGCGCTTGCCGGGGAGGTGCTCTGTCATTGAGTCACTCCACCATCCTGTTTTGTGTTGGTGGTTTTTGAGATATGGTCTCACTTTGTGCCTGGACTGTGGTCCTCTTATTTGAGCTTCCTGTGTCATTGGGATGGCACCCATAGACCAGGACAGTCAGCAATGGATCCCAATGGAAGATGGTCACTCAAGCACATGTTTTTGCCCAGACTGGCCTTGAATAATGATTCTCTGATCTCTACCTCTCAAGTAGCTAGACTTACAGGCTCCACTCACCACACCAGGCACTCAGAGCTTTTTGTAGTTTGATGGCAAGTGAAAGAGGAATGGATGTTGTGTTGAAGCCTTGGAGTACGGGTTCCTTTGTCTGCACTATCATTTAAGTTACCCAATCCTTGACATTTCTATTGCTGTAGTAAGATTTCTACTATTTAGACTAACAATTCTCCTAGAGTGGTTTTGAAGATAAAAATGTGTCAATCAGCGTAAGAAAAAAATGTCCCATGCTCCACAAATGTGGCTTGTTCCTTTCACTAGAAATCAAAACAAGATGAACAAACCAAGAAAAAGACAAAAATATGCCAGTGAGCAGTCTGATCTTTAGTTTACGCACTGCAACTACGTAAAAGGAAATGTTGAATATTAACAAAGAAGTTTATTAGAACCTTCAGGAACGCAGTCATCTCTAAGATGAACATGCTAATGGTTTTCAGGGTAGAGAAACTACAAATCATTTTGTTCCCAATACTGTTTTCCCTCAACTTAAACAAAGTAAACATCCTATTTTTTTTCCAATAGGATTTTCTTTCATGTGAGCAATTTTAACTCTAATTAAAAATCATTTGAATCTAATTGGTCTGGGGGGGGTCAGTAAAAAAGTAATTATGGGGCTGGGAAGGTGGCTCAGTGGTAGAGTGCTTGCCTCACATGCATGAGGCCCTGGGTTCGATTCCTCAGCATCACATAAGCAGAAAAAGCAGGAAGTGGCATTGTAGTTCAAGTGGTAGAGTTCAGGCCCCATGACCAACAAAATAAATAAAGTATATGTGTGTGTGTGTGTGTGTGTGTGTGTGTGTGTGTGTGTGTGTATGTATATATACATATATATATATATATATACATATACATGGTAATGGTTTGCCTTCTTAATCTCAGTATTTTTCTATCCTTTAGAGCATACTAAACCTATTTTTAAAAGGTGATCTTTTAGCTGGGTGTAGTGGTACATGCCTATAATTCTAGCCTTTAGGACGTGGAAAGCATAGGATGTTCAATTCAAAGCTAACTTGGTCTATATAACAAGATACCATGTCTAAACAAAGGTGGGAAGGGGCTAGGACCTGGACACATTGTTGCACACCTGAAATTCCAACTGTTGGGAGGTAGAAATGGGAAGTGTGGTTTAGCAACGACAATCCAAGCAACAAAATCAGCAAGACCTGTGGACTAACCAAGTGTGGTAGAAAGTGCTTGTACAAGACACGAGTAGGAGAATAACAGTCAGAAGCTGGTCCTGAGCATGAGGTATCACAGCCTATTCAAATAATACAGGGGAAAGAAGGACAGAAGGCACGGCATAGTACATGGATGACAAGGGTAAGGCCCTGAGTTCAAACCCCAGGACCACAGAAAACAAGCAAACAAAAGCAAGCAAGTGGAAAACACCAATCAAACCAAAAAGCTGGAGATGCAGCTCAGGGGGAATGTACTTGTTTAGCATGTACATGGGCCTAAGTTTGATCCCAAGCATGGCTGACTGCAAGTTTCTATCTGATAGTCATTCATAAAATAAAAATTTAATGTCACTGATAACATCTTCTGAGATAATGAAATACGTGCTGTTCAATGAATGATGCACACAATACATTGGTGGGTGATTTCATTCTGCGATTACCTTGCATTAACTGTTTCCAGTAGAAAAGCAAAATCTAAGCTGGCCCCATAGCCTCATGAAAAAAAGTCTCATAGTAAACAATTCCATACCAAGAGCATCAATGTCTAACTCATAAGTCATTCAAGATTTGATATTTAAGGCAGTAGATTGTTACCGGCTAATAGGATTATATTTTTAAAAACCCAACTCTTTTTTTCCCATCAATGAAATGCTGCTTTCCTTCCATCTGACATTATGCTAGCTCGGTGAAGTAAGAGTGCTGTGGATTTGTGCTTTGACGATTCTGTCCCTGTTTTGTTAGCTTTTGATGAAAAAAAAAATGAGAAATCACTCGGGCACATCTGAGGTTCCACCCTTTAAATAAAGCAGGGCTAGCTGGTTTTTCCATTTCTGATCTGCTTGTTTAAATATAAGGCATTCTTAAAATGTCCTGGTAGAGGAAGAACAATTTAATTTTGATGTGCAAAATAGAATCCTTTCATTTAAATAATAGCCAGAAGCTTTTAGCAAACCTGGGACAAAAAAATAAAACAAGAAATTTGATTCTCTCTCATCTTCTCAGTGGCTAGATGCTTTAGGATCCCATTATGAGGTATGTATAAAGTGGTGTTTCTCTCTGTGTGTGTGTGTGTGTGTGTGTGTGTGTGTGTGTGTGTGTGTGTGTCTATATGTGTTGCTTAGTATCCTTAATTATGACAGAATACAGGTATAAGGGGAAATGAATTTCTTTCCATGGCAGCATAGATTAGTGGTTAATAACATTCTATGGAGAAAAACTGGACAAATACAGTTATATCACTTACTATACCAGATAAATGCTATTTGAAACATGCATGGTCTCTCTGTGCGCGTTTCCTTATGTTTAAAGATTGAGTTTTCTGGGCTCTGGTGGCTCATGCCTGTATTCCTAGCTACTTAGGAGGCTGAGATATGAGAACCCAGTTCGAAGTAGCCTAGGCAGGAAAATCTGTGAAACTCTTAGCTCTAGTTAACAACCAGAAAACTGAAAGTGGAGCTGTAGCTTAAAATGGTGGAGTGCTAGCTTTGAAAAAAAAGGTCAGGGAAAGACCTGAGTTCAAGCTCCATGACCTACAAAAAACAAACACTTTGAATTTGACATGAGAATTAAAGAATTAATATGTGTGGAGTGTGTGTGTGTGTGTGTGTGTGTGTATTTGACGATACCAAACCTAAACCTAGATCTTGAATTTGCTATTCAAGTGCTGTACTACTTGAACCACACCCCAGTTCCCTTAATTTTGTTGTGTTTATATATATACATATATATATGTGTATATATATATATATATATATATATATATATGATTATGTGATTTCTGACCTAGGACTATGATCTTGTCTTTGCCTCTCACATAGCCGATGTTACAAGCACACAGCACCACACCTGGCCTTAGAATTCATAGCTGAAAGCACTAAGAATGATACACAACATTGTCTATCACTTTGTGAAATGAAAGGCACTCAAAACTAAAAGGAAGATATAATTTCTGTTGTGAAATATCACCCATGCCTTGGTAAGCGAAGCTTTATGGTTCTTTTGGCATCTCATATTATTTATCAAAGACTCAGAGATATCTTCTTTACATGACTCAAGTAACAAAATTCTTGGAAGATGGAGGCACACTATTCAAGAAAATGTTAAGGCCAATTATTATGACACTTCACATAGTATCAGTAGAACATGGCTTTCAGGAAATTTACAAAATCCACCCACATGAAGGGAAGAGAATTGAGGCAGAAGATGAAGGTAAATAATTGATCAAACATGAACTAATAAAAAACAGATGAAAACTTGATAGAAGATAGTTTGACAGCGAGTCATTTTCCTCACATGGATTTGGTCTGACCTTTTGAGGATCTGTTTCCTATTCCTTCAGTTATTAATGATCAAATAACATTGTTGCTCTCTCTCTTCAGTATACCTCTGCGGATGTTTCTCAGCTTCAGTGAGGGATAAGTTATTGGAAAGCAGGACAAATATTATCTCAGCAAAAGTGTATGGGGGTTTGGAAAATTGGACTTCATTCCATGAAGGATCTTCCATCTAGTAAGCTGGGGCCTGTAGCTGCTATCCATTCAGCACCACCATTTTACTACGAGAAAAAAGTAAAAAGCCAGTGACTCCTACAGAACCCAGACTCACTGCGACTTCTAGAGTCAGTTCACTGCCCCCATGTTTTGCCTTTTTCAGTAGAGGTAGACTACAATGGAGACAACATGGAGCTCCGAAGAACCACACACGTTTGAACACTTTCAGACCTTGCTCACATGCATTGCTGTCCACGCTCTCCTCCTCGTGTGAGAGCCAAGCACTGTCCTGTACTCACACCCACCAGAATGAAGACTCTGCTACCAGGAAGGACAGTAAGGGTTATAAGAGAATGCACATCCACCAGCTGTCCTCCTCAAGTGGGACATGAAACATGAACCAGTTGGGTGGAACCAATTTAGCTAAACTTGGGAGTACCCGCCTCCCAATTCTATCCCCTCCCTAGGTCTGGGGCTAGCCTGAGATCTAGGAGTCATTTTATGTAAGGTGGAAGAGAGCCAGTAGTTCTATTTCTCTACATCAGAGAGTGAGGCAGGACACGATTTTCCATGGCAACTCACAAGGGTCAACCCTGGCCTTGTGGTGCTCATGGTTGGTATTGGCAAGTGAGTCCATCGATCCTCAGGGTCCTGCAGGTCTCCTCTTTCAGTGGCTTTAGCTTTAGTTCCTCCGTATCAAGCTGGAAGCTCAAAGGCTGTCAGAGAACAACACCGAATACCTCACCATGGCGATCTCTAGCTATTCCTCACTGATTTTATTTATTTCTAAAGGTGAGTGGCTCGAGTTACATAAGTCAGGGAATGAGTATATCTCTTTTTTTTTTTTTAACAATGTCACCCTTCCTTCATTTTCTCCCAGGTTTTCCCCTCCTGAACCCCTCCCTCCATGTTGTATAGATCATTTCCAACATAGTGTCTGGTAAGTAACACTGCTGAACTGTTTCCCCCTTTGTCCTACCATTTCTGTACTTCCCCTTCCCCTCCCCAAATTAGATAAATTTGCATACAAGACCCAGGGTACAGATATCAAAAACAATGCTAAAATGAGGGGAACAGAAGAAAAAAGAAGAGAAAACATCTGCAAACAGTACAATATTAAACCTCTTGTTACCATTTCTTAGAATTCGTTTTGATAAGTATCATTTTATGTAATCACATGTACATAGCTATTGAGCCCTGGTGACCCTCTCCTAAGAACATCCTCCTTTGGTCTCACTGTGTGAACGTTTAGAGTCTTATTTAATTAATCATATCCAAGTGTAATGTTTGGTCTTTTATTATCCATTGGGTTTAGTTCTAGATTTACAGGCACATTCTAATCATTACAAATGAGGTTAACCTTGTAACTTGTGTTTCTTTGGGTATGGTTCTTCCATTGGTCCTTCCCAGTACCTACCCTAAGGTTCCAGGTTCAAGTATGAGACACCGAAGGCAGTGTATCCAATTGTGCAACATCAAATATTTTTAATAAGCCATGTGTAAATATATAGGCACACACTATGTGTGTGTGCATAAGTAGAGAGCACTTCTCTCTAGCTGTGCATGTAGTTGGGTGATGATCTGTTGAGTTACTTCCTTATGTGCTCTCCTTAGAATCCTGATTTTCTAACCAAATCTGAACAGATTAAGTCTCTGAACTGTTGGTGGAGGGAATGTCCAAAGGAATGAGCACAAGATCATCCTTTGATAGATGAGGAAAGTAATCACAGAGAATGGCTTGATGTCCAATAATAATAATTGAGCTGGTAGAATGAGAGCGGACTTCTGACTTAAACCCAGCATTCTGACTCCTCTTTCACAATGCCTCCCCTGGTCTTTCTCACTCAATTCTTGCTAGACTGAGACACAGGGTTCATGTAGGTGAACCCCTAATGCCATCTTTTGCAATCCATCCAGGTGTGAAAAGACCCTCTGATCACCGGCTCCCAGAAGAGTGGCCTGAGTTAATAGCACCGTACCTTAAGGCAGTGAAGCATAAGGAGCGAGCAGCTTTGGAAAGAGGAAGAGCTCGATAAGCAATTGCTGCAGTCCTTTGCTGGAGACCCTTGCAGTTCTTCAGAAAACTCACCCCACATCTTAACCAAAGTGTCCTCTATAATGAATAAAAAACATCACTAATACAACTCTTCTGTCATTTCTGGATGTTCAAGATGTCCTCTCTTCTTTTCCCAGAGTTAGTCACAGATAACAGGGAGAGTCATGGAATCGTAATCCCAAGAAGGACAGACACTATAAACCTCCTCCTACGGCAGCTGCCACAGAGGTCATACCCTCTTCTATATTGCACTCCTACCCTGCTGCTTCCCATGTTTCCCCCCCCCCCCCCGCTCTTTCTCTCACACAAACACACATACCAACATCAACATTCTAGCCAAACTTTCCTAACTGCTAAGTTCTTCACTGTCAAGCAGATGTTCTGCATCCTCTATAAATTTCCCAATTCCCAAGGCCTCCTGTGTTATAACTGTCTTCTTTTGCTAGACGTTTGACTCTCCCAGTGGCAAGGAACACATGGATCAAACCTTCAAAGTCCAATCAGATGAGTTAGTGCCTCATTTCAGGAGACAAGGAGAATGACACACTTTTCACTAGGGAAGACTGGGCGAGGACAGCGTTTGGACCAAGAATAGGGACTCACATGTCTGTTACATGTGAGATCAAGTGAGACTGAGATCAAGCGGATCCCAGGTCAGGACCAGGGCTGTGTGTGAAACCCCGGGAAGCTGGAAGGGTGGGCAAGGGCCTGTCATCTCAGCAACAGTTGGAAGCACAAATGGGAGATTGGTAGTGTAGGCCGGGCAAAACGCAAGACCTTATCCTAAAAATAACGGAAGAAAAACTAACCAACATCACTTTTTAAAAATGACCAGAAGAGCTACAAGAGTGGCTCAAGACTTAGTGAGAGGTCTGTCATTATACGATTTGCAGGTCTTTTCTTTTTTCTTCTTTCCTTTTTGCTTTGCTTTACTCCTTTCTGTCACTGTTTTTGATTTCTGTACCTTTTGTCTTGTATGTACGTTTATCTGCCTTGGACAGGGGAAAGAGAAGCACAGAAATGGTGGGACAAAGGGTGAACCAATTCAGCAGTGATCCTCACTAGACACTATGTTACAAATGAACTGTACATCTTGGGGGGAGGGAGGGAAGTTAGGAAGGAAAAACCTGGGAGAAAATGAGGGAAGGGGTAATATCGTTCAAAAGGAAATGTAGTCATTACCTGAATCATGTAACAATACAATTTAAAAATAATAATTTAAAAAAAAAGAAAAAGAAAAAAAAAGACTTAGTATTCCTTCCTAACTAGGATAAAGCCATGAGTCCCAGTACTGACAAAAAAAGAAAAGAAAAACAAACAAAAGTCAGCATTAAAAGTTTTGTTACTAAATGGCAAGTCAGTTGCTAGGTGCTATGATTTTAATATCTAAAAAGAAACTCCAACTTATGGTGTAACAATTATCAATTACCAATCATATAGACATTTATAAACCACACTCACATTCACACATCACAGAGATTGAACAATGAATGGGATTTCATTGGGACTTTTTCTCATCTGCCAGTTTTGTCTAACTTTGCTTATCTGTGCTTCTGTTGTATGACTTTACCCAATAGATCACAGGCAAATTCTGTGCCCAACCAACAGACAAACAGCACCCACTGTGTACATTAACAAAACTCAGGGATAAGCCAACACTGTCATTTGTGCAGTGTACAGTCTTCGGTCTAGAGCAAATGCAGTGCTTAGCAACGCGTGTCCAGACTCCTACCGTATTTCACTTCTGGGAGTATAAACCCACATTGCATTGCCTTCTGCCTCATTTTCTTGGGCTTTCCTTATGATTTTTGCTCTGTGCATTTTTGCTTCTCTGAATATTGCTCTTAGCATGTGAACTCTTAGAGTGAATGGTGAAATCTTTCACTTGACTCCACAGTGTTATCTAATACAGTTATATAATACTTCAGTCTTGAGGAAACGAACCCACCCATCTATTCTCATAAAGCTGATGTTTAAATAGGAGTAACTCTGAAGTCTTAAATAATTTACTCACGTGGATCACAGGATGAGCTCTTTGTTAACTTCCACACCCATGCTAGCTCAAGTCTGACTCAAACAAAAGGCAAACTCAACATTTCTGATGGGACAATTACTGGAGTATCGCTCATATTCATTCCCAACTTTCTACTGCATGCCTAGGAAGGATTTTACTGAGCCATCTATGAATAGAATCCAAAAGAACAATATCAGGACATGAAAGGGCCGGTTCATTGTCTAGTTAGCTCATCAGAGATCCGTGAAGTGTGTCTTTAGGGTATTGGTTTGTGAGATCTATGTAGCTCTCCCACAGAAAATCCAGTTGGCTGAATTAGAGATCTGCTGAATAATTGTTTTGCGGTTCAACCATTATACCAGGTGCCTTATTTTGTGAGGTTACTTCAGATTATTTTCCCAAAGTAGAGACAGAATGTCCTGAATTACCCATTGTTTGGATCATTCTCACATGAGACAAAGAGCATAGTTGTGAAAAGACTGGCCAAATCTGTGGGTGAGTAGATATTTTTCTGGGGCTGAGCCAACAAACTAATCAAGTAGGAACCAAACCCAAGATTTGTGTCTCATAAAAACCAGCCTGTAATCATGTTTCTCAAATTTTTCCATGAAAGAAAAATAACTTCACAAAATAGAAGTTATTCTTAACGCACACTCCTGGGGAAATCTGAGGATAGAACCTAAAGGATTAGGTCTAAATACAAAATAGTCCACCGCCTTAGGATTTCTTTCTTTAAAAAGTGTGCGAGCCTTGGATTTTGCTGTGCTACGTTACAAAGTAATTATTGCACTGCAAGCATCATGCTTTGAACTGCTTATAGGTGAAGTTACTTGCTATCTCTTATTCCCCTTCCAAGCTATGGAGTTTAATTAATGGAATAATGTTTAACCTGTGGCTTTTCATAACTCCTGACTGTTAACTACTGCTATGAATTCAGTTGCTGAGAGGTAAAAATGAGACACATAAAAAAATGAACTTCAAGCCAGGTGCTGGCC